TTCTTTTACAAATCAAGAAACTGAGGCTGGGGAAGATAGTGCCTTGCCCCTGACCGCATGGTTAGGACGTGTTAAAACTGGGATTCGAACCTGGGTGTGCCTGTGTCCCACTTATAATTTGGTTGCTTGGAGCTCAGAACACATTTTCCCATCAAAATAATGCTGTAAGTGGTGGTTTGGTTGCCATAATGGCCTAGCTCACCCAGGGTATAGCTGGAATTAATTCTATGTTTCAGTGTGGTTGTGGATGAATCAGGCTTCTGTGGGCTAGCCTGGAAACCCACAGGAGAGGGAAAATGCATTTCAGGGTGTGCCCAGCTGGGAACTCTTGCCCTTACCACAGTGCCTGATTCAGGGCAGTCAGGGGATTGGTGGCTCAGGGAGCACTTGTTCATTTCCAGAGCTCTTCCAAGCCAGCTCTGGTGAGTTCTAGCTGTTCATTGGAGGGGACAGAGCACTGGGCAGTTTTGGGGTTTCTAAGACAGGGAGTGTTACGTGAGAATGTGCACTGATTTTCAGACTCTGACCATTTTAGTCCTCTCTCTTCTTTCCTTACACTGCCTCTCAGCTTCCTGCAGTCATCTTTTATCTTCTTCCTCTAGGATGGATCCTAAAGACAAGATCTAGGATTTATTTTCACCACTAAATCTGATGTCTGCCTGTGAAGTATGTGGGCAATAATGACTGCACAGGGTTAGGAGTGATAGAGATCAGAGCAGCTGCTAAGAGAAGCATGGATCCATCAAAGCTTCTAGGGTGACTTCAGGGAGAGCAATCACACATTCATTCAACAAACATTGGCTGTGGGTGTGCTGGTCAGTGCACTCATTCCTTTCTTGGCACTTCTGTTGCCAGAAGAATCCTGGGAAGGACTGAATGTGGGTCTCAAACCCAGAGTCTTAGCATTGGAAGAAATCTTTTTCCAGATGGAAACTGCAGTCATTCATTAATTCAGGAAGGTCTGAGTGTCAGGCTAACTACTGAGAGTACATAAATCCTGGAAATTGGGAAGTGACTTGCCCAGCATCTCAGCTCAGGGTCCCCATGCCAAGACTAGTACCTGCCCTTTCAGGCCACGCTCATGGCCTTTCTGCCTCAAGATATATCCCAGTCAGTTTTTAGGATTCCTCTGAATCGGAGCCTAGAGCCTAGGGGAAGGCCACAGGGAGGTGGCAGATTTCCTTCCTCATGGACAGTAACAACGGCTGGACTCGACCCTGAAGTGAGAACTAGAGTTCCCACTGGCGGGGTTCTGGAGACATAGAAGATGTTTCTCAGTTCTTTCAGTGAGCCACTGGCTCTTTAAATTCAGGTCTTCATAAGCACTGTTACCTCTGCTTGAAGCTCCCTTTCCCAGCCTCCTTCCTCTGGCTAATTCCTAACTCCCCTTTGGGTCTCAGTTTGAAGAGCTCTTCCTCAAGGACTTTTCCGGGTCCTCAGCATCCTTAGGTCTCCCTGCTCTGCACGCGGTCACAGCACTCTGGACTTGCTCTAGGATAACCCTGGACCCTTGGAATTGTTCTTGCTTATTGAATGCCTTTCTTTCCAGAAGACTCTGATCTCTAGGAGGGGCCAACACCATGGTTGTCTTTCCTTTGTATGTTTGTTTTTAGCAATTGTGTGCCCTTTATCAACAGTGCTTACTTAGTACACAGTAGGTGCTCAATGTGCTGTTGGGAATGACTGTGCTCCATAGCTACAGGCATGGCCTTCCTTCCCGTGAGAGATTTCCATTCAGGTCCTTCAGCAGCTGTTTACCAAGGAACAGCATACCCCCAGGATACAAGGATGATTTGGAAAAAGAGGCTTACCATCTAGTAGAGGAATTGACAATCCACAACTCACTTTGAAATTTGTAAAAATCTCTTCTAACCAGAGTGCTTCTACCCCCCTCCTAAGGCCCCTTTCCTGCTCTACTGGCCCACTGATTCTTGGCTCCTGGGGCTGGGGCCCAGCATACTGCTCTGAGTTTCAAGACCTACCCAGGCCCTGAACAAGCCAGGCCTGCTGTGGGGCTTCACACAGGCTCCTGGTGCAGGTCCAGGGAGTTGAGGCACAGGGCAGACAGCACTGGGCTCTCCAAGCTCCTCTGGACAGTTCTACACCACATGCCTGAGCTTTTAGTTGTTTTGGAGAATTTGTTAGGAAATCACCTTTCCTCAAATTTGTCTGGAGAGGAATTTTGAGGGTAAAGGCTTACATTCATTTTAATGATTTGAAGTGCTGGTCTTAAAATAGTTATCCCTAAAGTGTCAGGTTTGCACAGCAAGTAAAAGACATTACTCTGCCAACAAAAGTCCATATAGTCAAGGCTATGGACTTCCCAGTGGTCACACATATTTGTGAGAGCTGGACAGTAAAGAAGGCAGAGTGCCAAAGAATTGACACCTTTGAACTGTGGTGCTGGAGAAGACTCCTGAGAGTCCCTTGGACAGCAAGGGGATCAAACCTGTCAATCTTAAAGGAAATTAACCCTGCATACTCATTGGAAGGAATGATGCTGAAGCTGAAGCTCCAGTATTTTGGTCATCTGATGTGAACAGCCAACTCATTGGAAAAGTCCTTGATGCTGGGAAAGATTGAGGGCAGGAGAAGAGGGTGTCAGAGGATAAGATGGCTGGATGTCATCACTGATGCAGTGGACATGAACTTGGGCAAACTTTGGGAGATGGTGAGGGACATGGAGGCCTGACATGATGCAGTCCATGTTGTTGCAAACAGTCTGACACGACTGGCAACTGAACAATAAAGTGTCAGGACATCTGGGTAGAAAGACCTTGAATTTCTGATTTTGGTTGTTCCTCCCAGTTTCCCAGAGCCTCAGTTTTGTCATCTGAAGGATGTTTTGTCATGAGGAACATGAGATGTTGTTACATGACAATGCCAAGCAAGTTGAAGATGCTTCATGATGATTGGAAACATCAGTGCCGACAGTCTGGTCCTGGGGCCTCACGCAGTAGGGAGGGCACAATGGAAGTGGCCTCCTGGGGTCCCACAGCGGGCTTCGTGTGGTGCAGGTGAGTAAAGGCTGAGGCTAGTGAGAGGCAGCACTAGGACCCAGGGGCTGAATCTGGAGCCGGCTCAGCTGGGTAAGTTCACAGCCAGAACACAATGTTCTCAGTGTACCCACAGGAAACCCTGAAGAGGAGAACTGCACATGGCCTTCTGCTGGGTGTGTTCTGGTCCTAGCCTTTTATTCTTTTTCCTAACCTCAGTCCCCACTTTCACATCCTGTAACCTGCAGAGCCCCACCCTGCTGGGCTGGTCCCAGGCCCCGGGAGAGCAATCAATGCAGGAAGCCCAAAACCTGGCTGGCCTTCACCATTTTCAAATAAGACCGTTTACTTCTAACCTTGGTTTCCTGAATCAGCCCTTTGTGATGGAAACTTTTCACTGTGCGGAAGGCAGACACCGGGGACAAAGTTGGGTTTCTAGCTGAGGCGAGGGTCTTGGCTCAGAAGCAAGGGAAACAGCTGATACCTCTGAACCACCTCCTCCCTTCCTCTCTGAAGGCCAGACTCCACCTGGGATGGGGCGAGGGCCTCCACGGCTGCTGCATAAATCAGAAGGAACTGGGAGCTGCCTGGGAAACCAGGGCCAGGTTTGGAGCAGAACATTGTATGATGTGGTTCCTAGTTTTTATTTCCACGAATGCTATAATATGTTATCCTACCGAGCTATTTTTATTGAATGAAAAGATTTTAAAAAAGCAAACCTCTACAAAACCAACAGCCCTCTGTTACAGGGAAGGACAAGGTGAACTTTTCACTTCCTTCCCCACAGCCTATCAACTCATCTGCGGTTTGGTGTCACCCACACTTCCGTACTATATTCAATCTCAATTTTTGCCTCCTTGTTTTTGAAACTGCAAGAGCAAGGCTCTTAAACTCATGTTGCTCCTGCATGTTGCATGGGACTTGCAAAAGAGTCTTTTTAGTGAGTTGTCACAACTGATTGCAGAGAGGCCAGATGCCAGCCTGGAGGCAGAGGTAAGCCCAGAGAGTAAACAGTGGGGGAGAATGTGAGCAGCCAGCACCGCCCAGCTGTACTCAGCAACCTGAGCTGTTGGGGGCAGCAAATAAGCAGCAAAGCTCTTCCTTTATGACACCTACATGTCTGCCTCCTTAATGAGGGGCCTGGTCATTGAAAATAAACCCTGGTGCTTATATTATGCTCCATTAATAAGGGTTTTTCCACTCTAGCATTTCAGAGTCTTTTCCCAAATCTTGATTTGTAAGAGTTTTAGCTCACCACAGGCTGATAAAGAGATTCGACTGGGTGCTTCCCAGATTTGTCCAAGCTCAGGGGTTCCCTTCTTAGAGAAGGAACTTCCCAAAGCCGGCACTACTGCTACTCCGGGGAAGCAAGCACAAAGCTTGCAGCTCCCAAAGACCTGGGGTCTAGTTTTAAGTTTGCCAATTTGCTGTGCAACCCTGTGCGAGTCACCTGCTCACTTGAGACTTCAATATCCTCATTTATAAAAGGAGAGGGTTTGGTTAAACATCGTCGCTGTTACAGGTGTAATTGTGTCCCTTCTCAAAATTTATATATTGAAGTCCTAGCCCCAGTAACTTAGCGTGTGACCTTATTTGGAGATGTTGTTGTTTAGTCACTAAGTCATGTCCGACTCTTCGCATGCCCATGGACTGTAGCCTACCAGGCTCCTCTTTCCATTGGAATCTGGCAAGAATATTGGAGTGGGTTGCCATTTCCTTCTCCAGAGGATCTTCCCGATCCAAGGATTGAACCCACATCTCCTGCCTTGGCAGAAGGGCTCTCTATCACTGAGCCACTTTGAGATAGAACCTAATAAAGGTAATCAAGTTAAAATGAGGTCAGTAGGGTGAGCCCTAATCTAAGATGATGACGGGCATCCTTAAAGAAAAGGGAGATTTGGACACAGACGTGCACGAGTGATGATGATGTAAAGAGACACTGAGAGGAGGTAATCATGTATAAGCCAAGGAGAGAGGCCTAAAACAGATCCTTTCCCTCACAGCCTCCAGCAGGAACCAACCATGGTGAACCAACCATGGTGGCATCTTGATCTTGGGCTTCCAGACTTCAAAACTATGAGGTAATTAAGTTTCTGTTGTTTAAGCCACTCAGTCTGTGTACTTTGTAAGTGGCAGCCCTAGCCCAAAGGAATGCAGTTGCCAAGGCCCTTCAGCTCTTAGACTATGGGATTCTTTCCTGCCATCCCTTGGTGGCTTCCTCTGCCCCACATAGCCTTTCTGCTACCCTCTCCCAGTAAGTAAATGGCATTATGTGTCTGAAGTGCTTAGCACAGTGCCCCACATATAGTAATTCCTCACTACGTATTAACCATGATGAACGTTCTTCGAGTCTCCAGTGCCTGGATATGACCTGTACCTACCCCGAGAGCCTATGTGCCAAGTGAGAGGCGTGGGTGCTGAGCCTGGGCCCTCATGTTCACTCACTGAGGCCTTTCCTATCCCCCTTGCCAGCTTTTCTTTTTTTCTTTTTGAAAACATTAATTAATTTGGCTGCATTGGGTCTTAGTTTGTGCCACGCAGGATCTTTTCAGTTACAGCATGGGGGATCTTTGTTCTTTGACCAGAGACTGAACCGGGACCCCTGCATTGGGAGTGCAGAATCTTAGCCACTGGAACACCAGAGGAGTCCTCCTCCCCTCAGCAGCTTTTCAATTGAAGAGTATTAGATTGACACCTTCTAGGAGCCGAACTCTTTTCTCATGGAAGGTTCATTTTGGCCACAGAGCCAGCAGGACTCAAAAGAGACTGGAAAAGCTCAGGATAGATGATGGTTTCTCTGTTCTTAGATTCAGTGATTCCCCAGGGTCATGAAGAGGTGTAGAACTCTGAGGTTGAGCCTCTGCTTTCATATTTCCCAGTGAGGACGCCCTCTGGTTGGCAGCAGAGTGAGTAAGTCTTAAGGAGGGGTGCAGCCAGGGCTTGCGCTCCCAGACCACGAAGTGCTGCCTTCCTCCTTGGGCATCCCTCCCCGCTTCTGCTGTTTTCTAGCTCTGCTCTCAGAATGAATTTTCCTCTGTACCGAGAGATGGCATGGGGGTGATGTCTTGCTTTCTTCCTGGCTCCGGAGTCCGTAGGTCTCCGGAGGCAATAGTGCCTGGGTCCTCCAACTGCCATCTCAGGCTGGCTGGGAGACTGTGATTTTCCTTTTCATGATCAGGAGTGCTTTCAAAAAGCGCTCTAGCCTTGAGCATTGAAGCAGTATCACAAAATGAGCCTTGAGTCTTCTCTGAGCAACGACACTGGTCCAGGATAGAAGGTCCTAGGTTGTCCTCTAGGCAGTATGTTGGAGGGCTTAGTTGCCCTGACTTCATAGAATATTCCAGATTTACTGTATTTTGGAGACTCTGCAAAAAGTTAAGTGGGTAGAATCTGACTTCAACAACCTTCAAGCATGAACTTTAGGTTTGCTAAACAGATGAAATGCCCATGCTTGTGTGGTTTATATGCCTGGAGATTTCTGAGAATAAGGAGAGGGTGAGAGGGTGTGGGAGTTTACTTCAGGCTTTCAGGGCCAGGCAAGGAAGGAGGAGAAACCAGTCGGGGGGGGAACAACATCTGTCCACAACGTCTATATACTTTAAATTTGATCCCTTCAGACTGCCTCTTATCCTGGTTTGGCTCAGAGCCCAGAAGGGAGGTTCTTTCAGTAATTCTGAACTTGGAACATCTGCCTTCCCCTAAAAGTAAGTAAATAAGTACAAATCTGTAAGTGCTTAGTTTCTCTGCCAGAGCAACAGTACTGTGAACAGTATTGCCTGCTGCTGCTAAGTCGCTTCAGTCGTGTCCTACTCTTTGCGATCCCATAGATGGCAGCCCACCAGGCTCCACCATCCCTGGGATTCTCCAGGCAAGAACCCTGGAGTGGGTTGCCATTTCCTTCTCCAATGCATGAAAGTGAAAAGTGAAAAGTGAAAGTGAAGTCGCTCAGTCGCGTCAGACTTTTAGCGACACCATGGACTGCAGCCTACCAGGCTCCTCCGTCCATGGGATTTTCCAGGCAAGAGTACTGGAGTGGGGTGCCATTGCCTTCTCTGACAGTATTGCCTAGTGGCTGGTAAAGATCACTTCGATGCTTTATACCAGACTACGGGGCTTAAGCTTCTGGGCCCTGAGGAGCCTGCTTCCCGAGTTATTTATTGTGAAGGGCAGGATCCTTGGCCTCTTAGGTGTACCCTGGGCCCTGTCAGAGAAATGCTGTCTTGATGGAAAGTAGAGCGTGGCTCAGAACAGTCTGGTTTTTGCTTCCTTCTCCTGAGAGGGCACACCCTTCCCCAGTACAGGCTCAGCTCCAGCCACACCAAATGACTTGGAGTTCCACAAATACACGAGCTAGTCGCTGTACTTGGAATGCTTCTCTGGCATCTTCCGCTCTAACCCCGATTGACCAGTCTACTCAGGCCCAGGGCTCACCTTCCCTAGGAAAACTTCCTTGTCATTTCCCCTTGCTTCCCACCACCAAGCCCTCTTGGCTTCCACAGCACCCCATCTAGACCAGAGTCATGGAGTTATGGTGCTGTATAGATTCCATATTTCTGTTTACTTGTCTGCATTTTTCACTGGTCCAAGTGTTTTCTAAACCGGCTGCAGGAGAGTTACACAAGACCCCCAATCATAGACCTGTTGGATCCCAGGAATCAGGCCAACGAGTCTGTATTTTTATTAAGCTTAATTCTGAGGCACAGCTAGATTTGGGAACTATTGCCCCATCTTTGTACTTCTGTTGCCTTACATATTACCAGAGACACAGTAGGCCCTCAAGAAATGTCTGACCCTTCTAATCTCTCTCTGGTAACCTCTTCTTGTTTTCACTTCCTTCCCTCACTAGCCCCAGACCATTTGCTTACCCTCTTGTGCTTCCCATGTAAAACTGTAACCACCAACTATGCGTTTTTATTTTTTTCTATTCCTACTGCCAGGCTGCTAGGAGATCCTGGGAAACTTCTCCAATGACTGGTGCCATGGCAAATTTAGGGACTTGAACTGCAAATGGCCCCTGAATGTGCTTGGCAGCTAACCCTGGTCAACTCCTTCCCATTCTTCATAGGGACCATTCCCAATCCCACTGTTCCCGCCGCCTCCTGCCACAGGCCACAGACCAACTTGCCTCCTGCATCACAGAGAAAATAGGAGCCTTCTGATGGGAACTCCCTCAACTTCCTGCCACCTCACCTGCCTTTACCCACATCAGCGCTACCCTTTCGCCCTCCCTCCCCGCGAATAATTACTCCCCCTGGGCTCTGGATCCCACCCCTCCCACTTGTCAGGGACCTCACACCCTCAATCATGCCCTCTCTCTGGCCTCTCCCCAAAACAAATGTCTTGACTGTGTTTCTTCCTTTAACTGTCACCCTCCCTGCCCCTCATTTTTGATTCCCCTTAACACTCAACTTCTTAAAAGTGTTGCCGAGATTTGGCCCCACGTTTTCACCTCCCACACACTCTCCCAGCCACAGCAGACTGGCTCCGCCTCCACTGTACCACTTAGGTGGCTGCTCTTGGGACAAGGTCACCAACAAGCTCCTTGGTCAAGTCCAAAGGCCTTCTCCACCCCTGTCACTTAACTGCTTGGCTACACCAGATTCTGGTGTTTGCAGCAGCCTCCTTCTTAAAATGTCCTTTCTCCTGGTTTCCCTGATGCCATATTCCTCATTTTCCAGCTATTTCTGGTGACTTCCTGCCAGTTGCTTTCCTGGGCTCCTCTTCCTCCTCTGAGAAGGTTCCAGTTCTCTTCTCACTCTGGGTTCTCTCCCTGGGCAGTGCCATTCATGCCTACCTTTGGCTGCATATCTCTAGTCTGGAGATAGTTTGAAAAGGAAAAAAACTGAAACTGAAGTTGCTCAGTCATGTCTGACTCTTTGCGACCCCGTGGACTGTAGCCTACCAGGCTCCTCCGTCCATGGGATTCTCCAGGGAAGAGTACTGGAGTGGGTTGCCATTTCCTTCTCCAGGGGATCTTCCTGACCCAGGGATTGAACCCAGGTCTCCCGCATTGCAGGCAGCCGCTTTAGCCTCTGAGCCGCCAGGGAAGCCCAGGGATAGTCTGCTGCTGCTAAGTCACTTCAGTTGTGTCCCTCTGTGCGGCCTCACAGACGGCAGCCCACCAGGCTCCCCTGTCCCTGGGATTCTCCAGGCAAGAACACTGGAGTGGGCTGCCATAGAGAGTCCCAAATCTAACTCTAGCCCAGATCACTCTCCTGAGCTATAGACCAGAGAGTCACCTGCCAGATATCTCCTTGAATCCACATCTCTCCCTGTATCCCTGTCTCAGTGAATAAAGAATCCTGTCCATCAGCTACTGAGACACGAAACCCAGGTGTCCTACCTGAATTCTCCAAGTCTGACAAGTCACCAAGTCCCACATAGGCTATTCCTTGAGTAACTCTCAAGTTAAAATCTATCCTCTTGTCTCCACATTTTTAAGGTTGCAGTTAGGTCTCCCCTGGATTTCCATGACAGCTTCCAAAAGGATCTGGGTCTTATCACCACTAATTTGCCACTGTTCCTTGCAGCTGCTGCTGCTAAGTCGCTTCAGTCATGCTCGACTCTGTGTGACCCCACAGACAGCAGCCCACCAGGCTCCCCCGTCCCTGGGATTCTCCAGGCAAGAACACTGGAGTGGGTTGCCATTTCCTTCTCCAATGCATGAAAGTGAAAAGTGAAAGTGAAGTCACTCATTCATGTCCGACTCTTAGCGACCCCATGGACCGCAGCCTACCAGCCTCCTCCATCCATGGGATTTTCCAGGCAAGAGTACTGGAGTGGGGTGCCATTGCCTTCTCCTTCCTTGCAGCTGAGATTTCTAAAGTGAAACCAGATCTTGTCATTCCCCTACTTTAAACCTTTTAATAGTTCCCCACTGTCCTCTAGTTGAAGTTCAAATTCCTTAGCAAAACCCATCAGGTCCAGTTTTGTCTCATCTCTTGTCTTTATGAATCATCCATAACAAAGCACCCTCAGCCCCACAGAAGCATGATGCCCTTCCTCACTCTTGGGCCTTTGCATATTTTGTACCTTCTATCTAGAAAGTCCTTCCTTCTCACCCCACCTACTTGTTCTCCAGGTCTTAGCCTAAACAGCATCCTTCCAGGAAGTCTTCTCTGACCCTGGCTCAGCTGGGTTAGCTGTCTCTGATTTTACATGGTTTCTGTTACCAGACAGTTTTTAGACTGAAAACTACTGTTTTATCTCTTTTAATATATTTATATAAACTCAAAGCTGATGACTGTGTCTTGATTGACAGCATATCCTCAGCTCTAGCAGATGCTAGACACAGAGTAAGTGCTCAGTAAATGTCTGTAGAATGAATAAAAGACATTTGGAAATAAACATCCTCTCTGTTCCTTTGGAGAAGGAAATGGCAACCCACTCCAGTATTCTTGCCTGGAGAATCCCAGGGATGGGGGAGCCTGGTGGGCTGCTGTCACTGGGGTTGCATAGAGTAGGACACGGTTGAAGTGACTTAGCATGCATGCATGCACTGGAGAAGGAAATGGCAACCCACTCCAGTATTCTTGCCTGGAAAATCCCAGGGACAGAGGAGCCTGGTGGGCTGCCTTCTATGGGGTCACACAGAGTCAGACACGACTGAAGCGACTTAGCAGCAGGAGCAGCAGCAGCAGCAGTAGCTGTTGTTCCTGTTAATAAACTGTATGTTGTTTCATTACCTTCCCTAAAGAGCTTATATTATAAAAATGAAGTAAGTGAATTCTGGAGAAACAGCTTCTCTAGGGAGGCTGGACAGGCTGGAGAAATCAGAGTATCTGGAGAGGTGGAGAGCAGCTTGTGGATGCTGACGTGTGGAGCCACCATTGGGCCTGTGTGCAGGAGCCTATGAGGAAGGCAGGGAGCCACCAACATCATTTGCCCAGGCTCCTCCCATGGCTGTTTAGGACACAGCTTCCACCTGTCAGTACAGCATTATAGAGAGCTCTGGGCTGGGCTCTGGCTTATTGTCTTGTCAATTAATTACCTTAGGCATTTCTCCAGTATGGATGCTGCACCATAGCTAGCCTAGCTTCTACATGAGGGTAAACATACAAATTCATACTTCCATTCACTCAATAAATACCTGCGGCACACCTACTATGTGCCAGCTAGTGTTCTAGGTACTGAATATACATAAAGCAATGAGACACATAAGGGCCTGACAGCCTGTTAACCAGGGGGATGAACTAGATGGTCTCTAAGGTCTCTTCCATTCAGCTCTAAATTCTGAGACTCCCTCTTTGACCAGATGCAAAATAAGAAGGCAGGCTAGTAGCACAGGGTCCGGTTCCAGCCTCCTCCTCCCATTCTTCACTCTTGGTACCATCTCCATCCAAACTCAGCTCTGGGAACCCAGAGATCCAGCATCATTTGTATTCTGCCTGCAACCCCAAACTTCCCCAAGTATCTGTTAGTTAAACCCTGTACCTCTTTTGTGGAGAGGATTTGTCTTGCTTGGAACTTTGGGTAATTACAAGGCAGCCAGGCAAGATATTGTAGGCAAGGTTAGGTGGTCTGACAAAAGGAAAGGGAGAAGCATAACTGCCTTCTCCTCCAAGTGTAGTATCTCTTGGGTTTGCCTGAAAGGGAACCATGTCCCTGGGCAGGTTCTTCCTCTTTCTTATGGATGATAGGCATCTCCTGGTCCTGTCTCTTTTCTTCTACCTTTGGCTTGGCCTTAAGGTCCGAAGTTTCTACCACTTCAGTATCTGGTGTTCTGATCGGGAACAAGGAATTCAAGGACTCCCAATCATGCCGGGGAAGGGAAGCCGAGGGCTTCAACTAAATGGACTGAGCAGAGAGATCCTAGGGTTAGAAACTTGATTTAGAGTTCCAGACCACTGTCATTCCAGGTGAGTATCAGGCATAGGATGGCACTAATAAATAAAGCACTTAAGCTTATCAGTGAAAACTGAGGACTTCAAAGCTGATCTTAGATAATTAAAGTCAAAAAATAAGATTTTTAACTTCATAAAAGTAAAACCAGCTTTATGTAAGTTTACTATTTATGTCTCATTACCATGAGACAAGGCACTTATATGGAATTATGTATCAAACTGATATGAACAATCTTTATTAGCAAATTCTCCCTTCACATTTTCTGGTGTATGACAAACTAGAAGGCATAAAGGTTTGAAAGGCCTATATTATTAACTATACTTTGGTTAATAATCTTGGTACCTTACCTTCTCTGTACTGGTTTCCTCAACTGTTAACTGCCGGCCTCATTTATCTCACAGGGTTGATGTGGGACTCAAGATGAGACATTTATGAAACTGCAAAGTGTTTTATGCACTGAAACACTCGTTACCATCAGCTTTAAGATGGTGGCTGTGAAATCCTGGCTGTTAGCTGCCATCTTCCCTGTCTTCCTCCTTGCACACTTAGGTATGTATCCGTTAAGCATCTAACTTTATCATGCCAAATCCTAAAAGGTTATGTAGATACTGACATAGCTACTTCCTATCAGTCCTTAAAGGAAGAGGCTGTTCCTTATCACTAAGCTCGGAGAGGAAGCAGGGAGGGTGGTACTAAGGTTTATTTCCTCCAGGTAGTTAAATCATTTTATCATTCAAAAAAAAAAAGGTTTTAGGGTTTTTCTTTGTATGAGGCACTGGGTTGGGGTCAGTGGGATGAAGCATGATACATATATGTGTGTGTATGTATATATATATATATATATATAAACCTTTCAATTATATATTATATATAAAATAATCTCAGCTTTGGAGTCTGGCACACTCAGTTCAAATCCAGACTTGGCCACTTACTTAGCTAGGGAGCCTGGGCATATAGTAATGCCTTCTCTGAGCTTCAAGTTCATCTGTATTAGGGTTTTTTTTTTTTTTTACACATCTTGCAGTGTTACTGAAAGGACTATAATTAATTCCTTTGAGTGACTGGAACATAATGAGTGCAGAAGTGAGGAAAGATGAACAACAGGTCCATCTTCAAGCCCATAGCATGGTAATAGGAGTTATGGATGAGACATAATGACCAACAGAAAGGTGCAGAGAGGGAGGGGCCATCTTCAAACAGTGAGGGTCTTGTTTCTGGCAGCACTCAAGGAGAAGCTGAATGGTCACTGGAAAAGGTGCTTCAGAAGGTATTTCCACTGAACTCTATAGATCTCTTCAATTTCTAAGGCCATGAAAAGAAATGTACAACTGAGAGAGTCAAAAATTCTTGAAGTTCAATACCAGAGGGTAAAGACGAGGTAATACAGTGTCTGGGTCCTATACATAAATCAAATGAAAGCTAGTGATTGCTTCTGAACTGTCACTGAAAATATGATTGAAAGGTTTATTGCAGACTAGGTATTTAAAATTTTTTCTTTGGTAATCATGAAGATGGTTGATACCCAAAAGGACAATGTTAGGAAACTCAATGGCTTTCAATAATGGAACTAGTTTAGGTTAAGAAGTATTATATGGAAATTAGTGAGTTTGAGGGCTGGTAATTTTTGTGCTCTGATGTGCTTCAGAGACAAGGTTAGTGGACTGAATTGTCAATCAAATGCAACCTGTTTTAAGTTCCAAGATTTTCTTTGGAGTCTGGGCTATGTGGCCATGTGCAGGTCTTTATCTCCCCTGTGCTCAGACTCCTTATCGACTCAATGAGGTCACCACCTCCCTGTCATGGAGTATGTATTAAAATATTCTGAACTCCTGAGATTAAGGCCAACTGCTACTGGGATTTTATTTATTCATAATTAACTAACTCTAAGCAGGTCAGGAACAAGATATTAATGAGGAGAAAAGCAAATTCTGTCTGGGGCAAAATTTGCATACAATCTAAATGATTCTAACTATGTAGTGTGGATGTGAGGGTCCCATGAGTAAAAACAAAGATTATCTCTTAGCTTATCAGGTTTTTCCATATCATGGCTAAAAACCTACTTAGATATTGATGATAAATTCATATACTTCTAAAAAGACAAATATCCCTGAGATGAAGCAAATCTACCATTTGTTTAGGTGAAATGGTTTTTAGATTCCCTTTTTATAAAAAAGTAATTTGACCTCTTCCCCCTATCCCAAATCCTTGAGGCTTTGAAAGGATAAAGAAACCAATTTGGAGTTCTTTCAAAGGATTTATTTGCTACAGAATTGCCAGAGCCCACCAACAAGATGAACTCAGGATTTCTGTGTTTAAAAGGATTTTGCTCACTGCTTTATTTTTACAAGAACTTCAACATTCAAAAAGCAATTCTTTTTGCCAGCATTTGGCATGCCTAGAAGAGGTTAGAAAAAGTTAGAATCTATAGAATTAGATGTCTAAAAATAGAAAAAATCCCAAACATTAAAAAATTCCTAATTTGGACAAGTCCTGAGTCGAAATCACATTCATCTGCAAAAAGAAGGGTTTTAGGTTAGAAATGTATTTTATAACTCCAGATCCTGACCTTGGACTTGACTGGTGAGGATTCTAGGAACTGTGTGAATGACAGGAGGGATGTCTTTCCTCTGGCCAATTCTGGCATGTGTCCTGGACTGTGAAGTTTTATAAATCTCTTTTAAACTCAAACTTCCTGGTTCTCTGATGTCGATTGTCTAAATCCGATTCTCAATACTTTTTTAAACAAATAAGCAAAAAATTTCCCTGCAAGATCACACACTTAAGAATTTGTTGCTTGTGTATAGGTACAGAGAAACCAAGTATGAATGTGAATTAACAATTCAGTGATGGAGCCGTGAATCTCTGGATGGCTATATACATTGTAAGAAAAGTTCCTTGCTAGACCTGCAGTTGCTGTGCACCCGAGATGACCATCCAGGCCAGATTAACCTGAAGAGGGTGTGAACCCCAGCAGCTGCTCGATGGGTTTAAATCGCCACTCATCTGCCTCCAGCTCTTCTACCAAACCAGCTAGTTTTTCCATCCGAGCAACCTGCTGATCTGTAAAGAATCAAGGAGATAGTATTTTTTAATAATAATATACCAAGCACCAAAATGATAACTGATTTAAAAATAATTTCTAGAAGGATTTATCCCCCTCGATATTCTAGTAATGGGGTCTTACCCTATGTTGTCAGAAGACTTAAATCTTTTCTTTATATTTTATTTTTAATTGTAGGATAATTAAGACAATCTTAAAAAATAGTAGTAGTTATCCTCCATGCCATTTGTCTACTAAATTTGTGACTGGTTACAAGTACTTAAGACTCTGCCTCCACTGCAGGGGGAACTGGGTCTATCCCTGGTTGGGGAACTAAGATCCTGTATGCTACGAAAAATAAACAAACCCAAAAAACCAAAAACCTAGGGTTACAAGCAATTGCAGCTCCCCCCACACCCGCCCACCCTAACATTATGTTCTCAGGGGAGAAATAGTCTGGTTTGGCGGTGGAACAGAGTTCCCTGATGCATAAATGAAGACCTGGTGAGGCATGATAGGATAGAAAAGGTGCTACCAGGATCTTCGAATCCAGGTAGACCAAGAGGTATTACATACATACCCGAAGATGCAGACAGTGGTAACAGTGGAGGACAACAGGAAAAGAAGATTTCAGGAAGGAGTGGAAAAAGCAATACAAGAAGAGTAGGAAGCATTAACTCTGGTAGAAAACTAACCCCTTTGACTTCAAATTTAAGTCTTAATGTAACATTCTGTGTGGATTAAGAACTGTAGAATGTTCTTGTCTGCAGGCAATTTGGGAAGTCCACTTAAGTAGCCTTGCTGAGTTTTTGTTACAGAGCACTGACCTTTCTAAATCCTCCTCTCCCACCCTTCCACTCCCTAGGAAGTTCATTCTCACAGTTAAGTACAGGGTACTCATGTGCTTACCATGTTTCACCTGTTTAAGTGTAGATGCCACTTGATAGCTGAAAACAGATTCACAGAGGAATCTCTCAGAGCCATCTACAAACAGAAGAGGAAAAGTTTTAATCTGCTCCAATCCATTTTAATCTAATGGCTTCCGATAAATGTAGTAAACACATCCATTCTTCTCCCTGTTTTTACTTTCAGGGTCTAGTTTCCAGGGTTTACAAAGAGGGCTTCTGTTTCACTTAGAATTAACACTACTGTGTTATAAAAGCTACTTCTTCTATACCTAGAATGTTAAAATAGTCCCTACACTTGTTCAAGAGTTTAAAAATAGTGTTAAAATAACAAAAACAAGAAACCCCAGTCTGATGTCCTGGTCAACATTTCTCCCATCCTAACCTGACAATTTCTTAACGTTCTCCTATTTTGTATGTCAAGCAAACACTGACAGCTAACAAACTTGGCCATGTGGCCCCAAACTTTCAAAATACAAAGGTACACCAAAACTCTTAATCGTTTTCATCCTAAAAAGTAAAGTTGAAGAAAAATAGCTATTGTCAATATTTTGTATATCAAATTACATCACAATGACCATCACAAAACACTGCTGGGAAATTTCATTCTGTAAACGCAAATTGTAACCTTGATTTTCCAACTAAACCAAAACACTGCAATTTGGATGGTGATAAGAGTATGGTGCAATTTCAGAACCTAGCATTGTACTGATGCCAAGAACTGGATATAAGAAGGTAGCTAATTCAGTCACCCCAGTATACTTGGAAGATGATTGTGAAACATAAGCTAGTTCATGTTATTCCTCATCAGGCAAGGGCTGATACAACAAAACATATCCCGAAAGACGTAGAACTCATGTAGGAAAATGTGACTTCAAAGGGTAGCAGAAACCATTCAGGGAAGGGATCTTATTGCAGAAATTCTAAAACAAATGAAGGGAGAGGACACAGCTGTCTTTTTTTAGGCGGCGGTTCATGCCAACACTACTGGGTGTCAAGCACTCACCCATCAATCATGGGTTGCTGCCGTCAGCCAGGTATTAAGTGACAAGGAGACAGGACTAACATTTTCTGGCTTCATGCTGAGTTTAACACAAGGCAGACCTTATTTCAGAAGCTCATAATAAGAAAAACCATAGATACTATATTCAAATAGCTTAAATATAAGACCAATAAGGCTTCTAATATTATCTTCAAAATTGGTGCAAAAATATAATTATTCCATACATAATATGTATGAAAATTATTATGTATATATATATATATAACATATTATTTCAAAATATAATTTCATATAGTGATGTAGACTTAGGAGAGTGTTATTCTTTAAATTCAACTTCTTTTCTAAACATTGTGTCATATGGGATATGATCCCACTCCCTCCTCCCACCCCTATTTCTCTGGCAGAATGTAAGTCATTTGTAAGTATATCATCTAAACTGAGCAAAAATTTATTTTTCAATTAATTGAATATTATACTGGCTGTCCAGTTTAAAGATCTAGGTAAGCCAATGGTATTACTGAGTTTTTCAAATAAGGGAAATGGCCTGAAAATAACTATGAATCCCACTATGGGAAGAGGGACTGTGTGAACATTTGACACCAATGATGCAATTTATTATGCCTAATAAATTGTGTAAGTATGCCAGCATTCATACCCTTGATTAAAGAATCAAATTATAACTTAAGTTTTATTTTAGGAAGAGCAAGGCACACAGAATTAGAGCTCTTCTCAGGTGGTTTGATCCTGAACTTGAGGATCTCACACAAGGCAGTGGGGATTCTGGTTCTAAGGACCAGGCCAAGATTTGTTTGCAAGCTCTTGAAAGTGCTACCTCCCACTTACATTCAATCACAGGTGTTATTAGGATAAATGCTTAAATTATAACATTTGCATATTTCCCTTGACAATGAACTTCAAAGCAAAAGGATGTAAGCTAATCTTTCAAAAAGGCACCTGCATATCACTTTGCTGCTCTGTATGTCTATGGAACACATTTTTGCTGATTTGCAGCTCTGTATTAACCACAAAGTCCACTGCTTCTTAGCTACATCCTATTAGTGTGATATCTGTACCAATCTAAAGTCTGGAATTTCTCCAGAGAGGAGTCAGCCTGGGGCAATCTGTCTTCCATTTAGAAATTGTAATCAAACTCTTTGTAACACACCAAGCAGCAATACATCAGCTTTCCTCTTAAGGGACAAGTAAAGGTTATAAATGGTGAAAAGTTCAGTAAATTGTCCAAATCTAACACCACTGTTAACTCCAATAAATAGGATGCTAACAAATTCATTTAAAAGACTATTATCCCACAGCGGGAAAACAGGCGATGGCAGATAATTAATGCTCCAGTGGCGTATGATGCCACCAGAATTCAGCCATTTCAGGACTGGAAGGCAGTCTCTGATTTGCCTACTAATATCTGGGTGAGACAATCCTAGCCAAAGGCAGGGGAATGTTGAAAAGTCCTATACAATATACTGCTTATGTGAGGTGTCTGATATCAGAGAGCAGATACACAAAAATGTTAGTACACAAGGTTAAGTACAGGTTATTTGGGTTTATTATCCTAGACTTGGGAGGAGGCAAGACCAAGTTGAACCTGTTAAGATAATAAAAAGCACCTAATTGCCTTTTGTTCCCACTCTGAAGAGGCAACTCTTCCTACTCTATTTTCATACAGGCATATCTCAGAGATGTAGGCCTGGTTCCAGATCACTGCAATAAAGCAAATCACACTAATTTTTTAGTTTCCCATTGCATATAAAAGTTAATGTTTATACCATACTGTAGTCTGTTAAGTGTGCAATAGCATTATGTCTAAGAAAAAATGTACATATCTTAATTAAAAAATACTGCTAAAAAATGCTAACCATCATCAAGCCTTCAGGGAAATGTAACCTTTTTGCTGGTGGAGGGTTTGAAATACCGTCAGCATTACCAAAATGTGACACAGAGATAAGCAATGAGTAAATGCTGTTGAAAAAATGGCGCCAACATACTTGTTCAAGGCAAGGTTGCCCAAACCTTCAATCTGTAAAATACCTGGTGTCAGCAAAGCCCAACAAAACAATGTATGCCTGTATTTCATTAGACTATTGTAAGAAAAATGGTCAGGTACACGGGCATTAGATTACTTGCATAATAGTATTGGCTATAAACATAGTAGGATGATGCATCCAAATCTACCATCCCTTTTAATTCACATTTAAGGGTACCATTTTCAATTTAACATTTTTCACTTGATTCGGGATAGTTCAAGGGCTGCCACCTCTAAGTTTTCATAGTTTGTCCTTAACTGTAAATAGCTTTAAAGTACAGGTGAAACTTTAAACCCAAGGAAGAAAACCAAAACTGGGCACTGCAAATTTAAACTCAATTTAAATTTATTCTACAGAAGAAAGGCAACACAGTCCCCCATGAAGCATACTGGGGTGGAATAAAAGTGGAGAGAACTATCACTTGTTAGAACATCAACATTTAGACTAACCTCAGAAGCCTTTCTTCTTTAACGTCTCCAAGAAATCTGGTGTACACTGACAAAGAATACTGACAGCTCTGAGACCAAGGAGGTACCGCCTGTGTTAAATTCCTCCTGCAGCTAGACTTTAAATGACTTTAATCTTAGGGTTCATTGTTAAATAAGGATTCCTTTTCTGCTGCCATAAAACTCTTTAAGCAATTTAAGTGCCTCCAACTTTTGATTTGTTTTGGGAGAAACTTCCTTAATACCAGGTCTCTGCAGCATATAACTTGTCATAATTTATTTTTAGTGCCAAGTATGGTAAACAAGGCCCTAGATGTTCACTACTTCCAGACTCAGTGATGTTAGCTTGAGTATTCAGTTAACATAATTGAAGAAAACAAAAGGGCAAAGACAGAAGTATCAATACATACACCTCATATGTATCACTAACTACAATATATCATTGTCTACTTCACCAATCATGATTTGAACCAATTCTAAAAAGTCTTCTTATGTTTGGTCCCAGTCTTCCTATGTTTTCCTGTCACAAGTGATTCTTCTGTCTGCGTTGGCTTAATGCAAACTTCTGCTTTTTATTATACCCGATATAAATGAAGACCACCCCCAAAAAGCTGACTCTTAACTACAGTCTGTGCCTTTCTCAGATATTTCCAGATTAATTTTTAAGTATATTTACTGAAAGTTGCAATATTTAAAGCAAAAAGGATCAATATACAATTAAGCACAGATGTGCTAGAATCAAGTAGATTTTGAATCTTTAATAGGTTCTTTGCTGATTTTTTTTTTTTCAAGGTATGAAGGACAGTTTAACAGTTAAGGGCCTCTTTCATGAGACTCCCCTGGATGTTAGTCAAAATGAAGATTCCTGTGCTATAACCTAGACTAATTTGGAATCTCTAGGTGAACCAGAAATGTGCATTTTAAATAAGCTCTTCAGGAGGTTTTAATGCTATTAAGAATTTATTGGTCCATCTCCTAAAGTGACATGAACCTGATGAATTCTAGGTATTAAAGTTGTTTCATGTTTATAGGCTGTGCCCTGATCTTGGCCAGCCAGTTTGCAAATGTGTGCTGAATAAAATGGGGGATGATCTGATGCAAATCCAGCGGGGTGGTGCTTGAGAAACCACACCGCACTGTCCTGCTGTGGGCCATCTAAGAATAGTACATTGGTTTTTATTTTCTCTCAGAATCTCTTCATCTATCTGTAGGTGAATTATATTAGAAAAAATATATATGAAACCTACTAACCATAGGGAAGCCGACTGGTACCAGGATAAAGCCACTGGAGCAGGAGTTTAATGGAATTCCTGGCCCAAGTACTGTGTCTTTTCACATGGTCAAATCACTTTATCTTTTCTGGGTCTAAATAACTCTAAATGACCTCCATGATTCCCAAAGTCTTTTTCAGTTCCAAAATTCTAATTCTGGAGAAAGATTTGTGTTTTAAAGATATTTTGAAATGAGGACAAGAGATGAAATGTGGAGCTGAAATCAGGACAAACTTGTAACTAATCCACTTAATAGCTTCTTTACAATTAATATTCATTGCAGGTCTGAATCCAATTATTCAGCAAAAAGCAGCATGAGATCACCTTCCAACATCTCTCCAGCTCCTTTGGGGTAGGTGAAAAGGGCTTTCCGTGGTGGGGCAAGGTCTGAGACACTGAAACCAGATCCAGTGACAGAACTTCCACTGACCCCACCAGCTGAGGAGGATGATGAGGAGGCAGCCATTTCCTCTCTAGTAGAATTCTCACTTCACTACAGAGAAAGAAAAACAGCAATTGGCAAGTTTATGGAAGTGAGACTGACAACATTTCATTCCAGCTACCATGAAAGTCAGCATACAGTTTAGTCAAGAATTAGTTTCAAATTTTTCTACCCTCTGTACTCCCACGATCTTTTATGGCTCCTTGGGCCAAAATGTCACTCAGGATTTTAAGTGAAAATATGTTTATTCTTACTTTTTCTACTTAAAACACTACTTCCTACCATTAGCAAACTGTTTATGTCATTTGGGATTGACTGTGGGTGATTTATGGGTTATGAAAGGGTGATATGGCAGTGCCAAGGTAGCAATTTGACTGAGGAAATAAATTATATGAGGATAAAACAACCATGCCTCATGGGACAGTTTGTCTTGGATACATCCTGACCAAGCCACACCAAGAAACTCACTTATAAAATTTTCCAAATAAAAATTCCAGAATAACACTGTGTTCTGTTCCCAAGGAAGGGGAATGGTTAGGAAATACATATTGGCCCTTTCATTAAATTAAAAAAATTTTTTTCATCCAAATGTAATACCCAAATTGATCACTCGGTGGCGTCCCAAAACTAGAACAAAATAGTTCAAGAATGATCTTAGAATCACAGCCTATTAGGAATTAAGAGGGGCTGTGAGTGTTTAATACTATATCAAATTAAAAAATCAAAAGGTCCAAATGGGAAAAAAAAAAAATCAAAAGGTCCAAATGTAAATGAGAAAATCTGTACCAAATACATGTCTCCTTTAAAGAGTTCAAAACAAAATAGAAGCTTAGACTACACATTTACAGAAGATTCTAAAAGGTTTATGTTTTCTATATAAAAAGAACAGTTTTTCTTTCAAACTCAGAACTATCATTCAAGACATAAAACAGCCAGGGTTGAAAAGTGGAGTGCAGAATTAGCACTAACTTTAACACATATAAGCAGTTTTCTGCTGAGATGGAAAGATTACCTAAGTAATTTTTAGCTTTAAAGATTTAGGTTAAATTTTGAACGCTACCAGCAGGTGGTAACCAAAGTTAAAGTGAAACTCACAATAAACCCTAGTTTGGAACTGCTCTATAAAGGCAGGCATTCTGATCACCAAGACCAAACATTATGCTTGGCTTATACCAAGTAGCTGTTGATTTAAATAAATGTTTGCTAAATGAGTTAACATTTCACAGGAACCACAAGATTCCTTAAAGATCATCTAATCCAATCCCCCCATTTTGCACATAGGCATACAGACTTCAGCTTATTTGTTGTGCCATTTTTTTAAGCAATGGCTTTACTGCATTGTCATGTGCTATATGGGCTTCCCAGGTGGCTCAGTGGTAAAGAATCCACTTGTCAGTGCAGGAGACATGGGCTCGATCCCTGGGTTGGGAAGATCCCCTGGAGAAGGAAATGGAAACCCACTCCTGTATTCCTGCCTGGGATCCCACGGAGAGACAGGAGCCTAGTGGGCTATAGTCCTGGGGTCGCTAAAGAGTCACACATGACAGAGTGACTAAACAACATGTACTATGTGAGAGGTGAAACAGCACAGTGATTAAGAGGTCAGACTCTTTGGCCCAGGTTCACGTCCTGGCTTTATTTGCCATCTGATTCTGGACAAATCATTCAACCTCTCTGCTCCTCAGCTGCCTCATCTATAGAATGCAGATAATGATAGTACCTACATCATAGGTGTCAGGAAGGTAAATATAACTAAAGCATTTGGAACACTTATAGTCACAGTAAATGACAGCTATCCAAAACTACCAATGAATAGTCCTGAATCTTTTTTTCCTCTGCAGATTCCAGTTTTTCATACTTATGTTTCAACACACTCATGGGAAAAGTCTTAATTCTCTCCATTTGACACAGAGTGTCAATGTCAAATGTCTCTTAGAATGGAAAGTGCATGCTCAGGAAGAGGGAAAATGCACCCCATACTTTCATTTTAAGGTTAATGATCTTAGGAAAAACCCTTTTCTTAGGAAAAGGGGGAGGAGTTGTTTTTCTACTCTCAAGGCCTAGCACAGAACCTGGATTACAGTGTTTCCTGAATGAATAAGGAACAAATGACAGAACACAGGGCTAGCAGAGGATAGAAAAGTTTGATGTCAGGAGGGTTGGTCCTTTACTGGTTTTTCTCCCTCATTCTGTAGATCTATTTACACAACTGTTTCTCCAATTAGGCTGCCAAGCCCAAGGTAGGTGCTCAGTAAAATTTTATTGAATATTTAAATATTAACCATGAAATAAGCTGGGACTTGACCCAATAAGGGAAGCTGGAACTATTGGCAGTAGAGATTCTTACAGGAGAGCAGAGATACTGCATGGTTGTGTTCATAGTGACAGGATGATCAACACATTTACTTCATGCATGATAGGGATGACCTCGTATTCATAAACCACTTTCCTTCCTAGCAGATACAGGCTTATATTCTTGAAAAGAATCCTTTTTAAAAAGTCTCCTTATCAAAAAGACAAGCAATCATTAAACTCCATCATCAGAAATCATTCCAAATAGCTGGATCACCAATCAAAAAGATGCCGAGCTAAAAACAGCTTGGGTGGAAAGGTTCTGAAGAGGGGATAGGTCCGAATGTCAGCTGTTCCCAAGCTAACTCCAAGCCATAACCCTACACCCACGCCGACCTCCACCTCACCCCACCTCCCCGGTCTCCAGGGGGCGACAACACTGGCGCCATCCCACTGCGCAGGCGCCATCGCTTGGCCCGCATGCGCAATTGTCTCGTGCGGCCCGAGGAAATTTCCTCTTACACGCCCTCTGCGGCAGGCTCCAGTTCCTCCTCCTCCTTTCTCCACTTTACTAGTCCCTGCAGGTAGGATCCCAGGGATCAGCTCCCTTTCCAGCAAGCTCCCGAGGGTCCCTGAGCCCTCGACCACTTACCTCAGCGGCTTTGGCACTTTACAGCCCCGCCCCCAACTGAAGCGGCTGCTTTTTCCACGACGAGGGCGGCGGCGTGCTCGCGCCCGTGTGAAGGGAGCCCGCGGCGGCCGCGGCGTGCGCGCGCCTGTGCAATGGTGGGCGTGGCCGGGGCGGAGAGCCGCGGCGACCCGGTTCTGGGAGAGACCTTCTGGGTCCTTCGTGTTCTCTCACTACAGCGGTTTTCTTACCACCGCGGGGTCCTCTCTTCGCTTGCTTTGACGTACTGGGTTGATTTTTGCTCGCTTTTATGATTCAGGGTTCCATCTTTCCTCCCGACCTTGTAGGCCTTCTGCTTTCCTCTCTGTCTCTCCAAACCACCACGGAACAGGATTAAATTGGCTATTCCCCCATCCTTCCTCCCGGAGAAGACAATGGCACCCCACTCCAGTACTCTTGCCTGGAAAATCCCATGGACGGAGGAGCCTGGTAGGCTGCAGTCCATGGGGTCGCGAAGAGTCGGACACGACTGAGCGACTTCACTTTGACTTTTCACTTTCATGCACTGGAGAAGGAAATGGCAGCCCACTCCAGTATTCTTGCCTGGAGAATCCCAGGGACGGGAGCCTGGTGGGCTGCCGTCTATGGGGTCACACAGAGTTGGACACGACTGACGTGACTTAGTAGCAGCAGCAGCATCCTTCCTCCTGAGCAGTCTTGTAGCCCAGGGCCTTACAGGAAAGGCGGATGGAGGGTTTGCTATCTCTGAAACAACGCTGTCTTCCAGAGCTTAGTTTGAGGACCTACCCTGACACTGACATCTACTTTTGTGGCGAGCCTTTTTTTTTGAGAGGTCCTGGGAAATTGAGTATTAGGGTGTAATGTCATTAAAGTATTGCTAGTTACGCCTCCTCTTTTGATGTTCGAGTCTGTTTACCTTGTATATTGTTATTTCTCACAACACGAAACTAACTCATTGGTTCTGTAAGCAAATTACCAGTGAAAGCGATTTACTTCCTGAGGTTGGATTGAGCATTAGTGTGTTTAGTAAGGATTGATCTTTTCGGAGGGGGACTGCTTAAGTTATTTTGGGCTTCAAGACCATGTACCATATGTGGTAGGAACCTTGGTTAAACATAGCCAGAGCTAACCCTAAGAAGCTTTGTTTCCTAAATTGTTAATTCATTAAGTGGTGACTAGAAACTTGGTTTCTCCCTGAGTGATGTACAGTTTTCGGCAGTGACCTACAGAAATTGAATTCCTTCCCTCAGCAATGTGTTAGTTTGGAGAACCATGTTGGTTAAGTCATATGTTAGCTTTGTTTTGATAGGCAGCTGGATCTAATTGTTGAGTATGTATTTCTAGCAGCTGTAAAAGTAGTTAAGGATGTTTTTGTCCTCCCCTTGAGGGTAAATGTATTAAATATCCCTAATTCTCTTAACTATCATACTGTGTAAGAGGGTGAGACACTCACAAATGTTCAAATAAGCACAGAGGTTAAATTTTACTCCCTTTAGCTTAAAGTAATGAAGAGACCTCTAGTCTCTCTTCCGAAGTCATGGGCAGGCTCAGTATCTTGTAATCACTTTTTTGAGGAATGCTGAATAGTTTGCAAATTATTGTCTTGAGTGTGCCAGGAGTGGAATAGTGTAGTGGAAAATGCGGCAATTGACTTAATAAAACAGCTTCTAGATAGGGGAAATCTAATGGAAACAGTAATGCTTTTGCTTAGGATGTACGATAAACTGATGCCCAATTCTGTCCTTGTAGGCCTGTGTAAAGATCTGCGTAATCATGGAAGTTCTGCGTCCACAGCTTATAAAGATTGGTGGACGGGTTTATAGGAAGAATCCCATTCAAGAACAGACTTATCAACATGAAGAAGAAGATGATGACTATTACCAAGGTAATCTTAGTTGCTCTTTGGTCAGATTAGAAGTACAAAGTTATCCGTATTGTAGAAACAATTCTTTGTTTCAGTGTTTCTGTGTGAGCACTGAAATTTGACATGTTTGGCCTCTCAGCTCCCTTGTTGATTCCGAGGGGGCTGGTGAGTTTGTTTGATGAGGTGTTCTCAGTTCATAAGCTAAGCTGTGTCTCATCTTTTTGCAGAGGCTTAAATATAATAAGGGGTAATTTTAGTTAGCTATTAATATTAACAATTAATTATCTGTGGCAGAATTAAGTTCTTTTATCTGTAAAGCTGAGAACTAGCTTTTATAAATTATTGAAATATATGAACATATGCCCAATGTTAACTGTTATTGTTGTGTCACAATTTTTCTTTTCTTCTCTGTAGTCATATACAGGCAGTTTCAAATACATAACCCACATGGCTGTTTCCCTTCAGCCCTAGGGCCTTGAGCTCTTTTATTTCAGCCTCCTGTTTTCTCTTTGTCTTGGCTGTATGGAGTAAATTCTCCAGTATCACTCCTACCTCATTCACTGAAGTGATTTTGTGTCTTAATACTAAAAACCACTGAGTTGTACATTTTAAGAGGATGAATTTTATGTGAATTATGTCTCTGTAAAATAGTACAAAAAATTTATTTCTGGGAGAAAACAATTAAATAGTGGTATGTAGATACTCCTTTCCAAAGGTTCCAAGATTGGAAGATTTAAAATAGTCATGTGTTTTTATTCTTTATTTTTTTGCCTAAGAGCAGGTGAGGAGGAATGTTTTGTTCTTCAGTGTAAAGTGTATGGCTGTTCTTTGTGTGTGTGTATTGCTTTTCTTTAAACGTCAAGAATGGTTGGACAGCTGAGGAGAAGAAAGACTTGTCCACAGAGCAACAGCTCTGAGTGAGATGTTATGGTTTCTGTACAGGCCTCATGGAGTGTGCGGAAGAGCCCTGTGAAACGTACGAGGTGGTGCAGACCCCACAAGGTTTCCGATGTACCGTGAAGGCCCCCAGCCTCCTCTACAAGTAAGTGATGCCCCTTGCAGCTTCATGGGAAGGCACTTCCAGGAGACCTAGAAGGAAGCTGATTCTTCTCTTTCCCTCACTTATTACAGTACTTACTAGTGACAAAATGGTTTAGTGTTTAACATCCTAGAATTTCTAAAGATTAATTGCAGATCAGTTTTATCATTCCACATACATCACCAAGTCCTGTTGATTTTGCCTCTTAAGTATCTTTTGAATCCACCACTTTTTCTTTATAGCCATTCTGCTACCTCATCTGTGAAGTGAAGTGAAGTCGCTCAGTCGTGTCCGACTCTTTGCGACCCCATGGACTGTAGCCTGCCAGGCTCCTCCTGCCGTCCACAGGATTTTCCAGGCAAGAATACTGGAGTGGGTTGCCATTTCCTTCTCCAGGGGATCTTCCCAACCCAGGGATCGAACCCAGGTCTCCCACATTGTAGGCAGATGCTTTTACCACCTGAGCCACCAGGGAAGTCCACCTCTTCTGTGAATTATTTCAAATAGCCTACTTACTGGTCACTCCAGATTGATTATTGCTCTCTTCCAATCAGTTCTTCACATTGAGGGTGGAATAATCTTTTTAAAAGGAAAACCTGATTATTTTATTACCTTTGTTTGAAATCCATTAACATTCTTCCGTGGAAGATGGAACTTTATTCCACTAGAGCAGTGGCCAAAATCTTGAACATGAGTTAGCCAGCCCTGCATTTTTCAGTTTCAACTCACACCACTCTTTCCCTGGCTTTGCACTTAAGTTTAACTGGTTTTCTTCAGTTCCTCAGATGTGCTGAGTTCCTTCCTACCTTCTAGCTTTGGCATATGCTGTTCCCTTTCCTTATATTAATATTACCTAGTTATTAATATATTCTCCTTCCTTAGGGAAGCTTGTTTTGACATCAGCATCCCCACCCACCACATTGATTACCGTAGTATATGTTTTCATAACACCACTACTTTTCCTTTATAGCATTTCTCAAGCCTAATGTTTATATTTTTTTGTCTCCTGTTTGATGTTTCTTCCACTAGATTGAAAACTACCTGAAGGTAGGAATGTGTCTGTTTGTTGTCCTCCAGTTCTTGTCAAAGACTGAAATGCTTTTTCCAGAATCAACTTTAGTTTTAAATTGCTTGGAAGCTTTGTGATCCTTTCAGACTGTGCCTACTTGCCCGCGTGTTGATCATATTCTGTCTTTTATTAACCACTAATATTGTTAGCTCATGTGGCTGACTGGCTTCTTTTGGGCTTGAACCTCTGAAGATAGGATGGTCTAGGAAGTCATAGATTGTTTTTCTGTGTTGTACCAGATGAATAAAGTCTGTCTATACTTCTCTATTGGAGAAGGCAATGGCAACCCACTCCAGCAACTTGCCTGGAAAATCCCATGGATGGAGGAGCCTGGTAGGCTGCAGTACATGGGGTCGCTAAGAGTTGGACATGATTGAGTGACTTCACTTTCACTTTTCCTTTCATGCATTAGAGAAGGAAATGGCAACCCACTCCAGTGTTCTTGCCTGGAGAATCCCAGGGACAAGGGAGCCTGGTGGGCTGCTGTCTATGGGGTTGCACAGAGTCGGACATGACTGAAGTGACTTAGCAGCAGCAGCAGCATACTTCTCTATGAGAGGAGGTCTACAAATACAGAATCATACACCTTTAAGTTCCAAGAGGCAAATAGTTGCACTTTTTTCAACTTGAGAATTTTCTGAAACACCTATTGAGGATGAAATTTCTCTCCTGGAATGTGACCAAATGAGAAACCAAATGCTAATCCTGACAGCTCACTTTCCTCTCAGGTTTCAGTGACATTTTCTTCTAAGAAACATGATTTTAGAAAGCTGTGACTCAGATTCCTGGCAAAAATCAATGCAACATGTCTTCCTTAATGTATATATTTGTTACTGCTAAGGTATGTAAAGATTCCTTAGATGTCTGATTCTAATCATATGACCTTTTGAATTTTATATATTCTAAATACTCATTTTGTTCCAGATGACTTGCATGTTAGATTAAGTATTGGTTTTGCTAAATCCTAATTAATAGACAATGTTTACTAGGAAGACTTCTTTCTTTTTTGCTTTCTTCTTCCCTCCTTCTCTTCCTCTCAGTCTTATTGACAAATAATTGACCTACATGGAAGATTTCTTTTTTTTTTTTTAATTTTTAAAATTTCTTTCTTAAGACTCATTTATGTAAGTTTATTTGGTCCATGGAAGAAATTACTTGACCAAACTAACTTATAATCAAAGTCTAATAGTGGTGCACATGTCCACAGATGAGGTCTAATACTGTGGCTCTCAACTTCAGGTACACATTAGAATCACCTGGGGAGTTTTAAAAACTCCCAATACCTAGGTGTACCCCAGACTAGTTGAGTCTGAACCTCTGGGAGCTGAACCCAGGCATCGTTAGTTTTTATAGCTACCCAGGTGATTCCAGTGTGTAGCCAAGATTGAGAACCACTTGATCTGGCAAGAATTTCCGCTTATACAATAAGGAGTCATCCTTTCACTGTTTATCTGTATTATTTTAGCGAATGCTTTTAGACTTAACGTGTAAACCTCTTTTGGGTCTGTCTGTACTCTTAACTGGAAGGATGCCNTGCGGCACATGGACTCTTGAGTTGTAGCACGCGGTCTCTCTAGTTGTGCATGCAGGCTTAGCAAGCGCAGCACGTGGACTGTCCCACCAGAGATCTAACACTGCATTGCAGGGCAGATTCTTAAACCTGGGGAGTTTTAAAAACTCCCAATACCTAGGTGTACCCCAGACTAGTTGAGTCTGAATCTCTGGGAGCTGAACCCAGGCATCGTTAGTTTTTATAGCTACCCAGGTGATTCCAGTGTGTAGCCAAGATTGAGAACCACTTGATCTGGCAAGAATTTCCGCTTATACAATAAGGAGTCATCCTTTCACTGTTCATCTGTATTATTTTAGCGAATGCTTTTAGACTTAACGTGTAAACCTCTTTTGGGTCTGTCTGTACTCTTAACTGGAAGGATGCCATCATGGGTTTAATGAGGATGACATGGGCTGTACTGAGCTATGTGCCAGTCATTGGGAAGTCCTTTTATATGTGATCACATCTAATCCTTACGGCCTGCCTTATGATATTTAGGTATTATTCACTCTATTTTTTTAAGTGAAGCAGTAGGCTAAGAGTGGTTAAATGACTTGGCCAAGGTTTGTTTGCTTCTAAAGCCTCTTTAACCTCAACCACTTCCCTTTCTAAGGTGCCTAGACTATTAATAACACTTCGAGCCAACTACTTTATGAGAGGTTTGTCCACTAGCCATGTGCTAACAAACAGGAACCTGACTGAAAACACCCCTTTATTGATAAGACCTGGAAAGACAAAGGCTGAGGGAGTTGGTACTACATAGTCCCTAGCTCAACACAGAGAAAAACGACATGGAAACTGTGGCGTTCCAGTCCTCTTCTGAACATCTTGTTTTATAAAAAGTTGGCTTACTACAATAAATCTTAATAGAAATAATCAGACTTGGTTATCCCATGTAAAAATAAATACAGAATTTTAGGCATAGTCACCAATGCTGTTGTGTACTATAATTGAAATCATCGAAGTCAAAATGCTGTTGATGAGGAAATTTTTTCTCTTAACTTTATGGTCCTGTGATGGTCTCTTAGTGCTTTATATAAACTCTGAAACTTTTCTCCTGGGATCCAGTAGTCTCATTTGGTTTGATACATCTAATTACTATGGGTTCCAGAATATAGCTTTGGATGGTCAGAATTATTTATACTAGGAGGCCTAGGTAAGTAATGTGAGCCAATAGATGATTGGAGTCAATAAAAGACAGTAGGAAGTGGCAGGGATTGTGATGAATTCATATTCCATTTTCAGAAATGAGCTCATGTTCCAGCCTATTTTTGCCATTGAGTAGTCAGATCTCCCAATATTTTGAAAGAACTTAGAAATCTGTATTTTTTAGGTGAAATTTCCCAATTTTTAGGTGAAATCTCCTAAACAAGACATGTCTGTGTGTTTGAATTCATCCTGAGGGTTACTTCTTTCTGTGCTTGCACCTGTCTTGGTTGGTGGACCCTGCTCTTTGCTAAGCTCTTTAGCATTATTTAATTAATGAAGGATAATTCCCGTAGGATGAATTCAAAATGTAGTTAATTTGCTCTCTAAGAGGGCAAGATTTTCCCCCTTCGAACTGTAGACCCATTCAAGTGGCCAATGAGACTATGCTAGCTTTTCTTTCACTTAACTGCAGACCCAGATTTTGAATCTAGTTTTGAGAAGCAAACAGGCATTGGGTATAATTATTCTTTCTATGCTTTGAATTGGCTGTAGGACATTGTTTTGTCAGTGAATATAATGCAACATGTTCTGTAAAGCTATATGACTTGTAATTTCCTCTACAAATACTGAATTTTTACTGAAGCACTCTTCTATGAGGGAGTATCTCTGGCCACATAGGATTTAAATATGTTGGAGTTCTTTATTCTGGTATATTTTGACTTATATTAATTAACTTTCTCTATATTATAGGCATATTGTTGGAAAGAGAGGGGACACTAGAAAGAAACTAGAAGTGGAGACCAAAACTTCCATTAGCATTCCTAAGCCTGGACAAGAAGGAGAAATTGGTGAGACTCTATATATGTTTGCAGTCACTTTTGTATGTGTATGGAATAATGTGACCCATCTGAGGTGTTTGATGATTATATTTTTTATGTGGTTCTATTAGCTATTGTCCTTTTTATATCAGTATCAGTCTCTCAGATGAGGAAAGATGTACTTCTACAGCATTATCTTGGTTGAGTACCTGGGCCTTAATTTGATACTTTACTACACATTGATGGAATAAAGCTTCCAGATTTTGTTGTGGACTAGATTTCTTGTATGCTTCAGTAGCTTGAAATGGAGTTTGTGAATTATTTCAAGTTAGAATTAGAGAAAAAAAGTGAGATCAGCAAATTTGAAATGAAGCTCAGCCCTTTCCCTATTAGTTATCTTGTTTTTATCTTGCTTTGTAGACTAGGAAGGAAATTTTAAGAGTAATAATTAAAACAACAATCTGATTCAAGTAAGTGTTCAGGTGAGGAAAAATAGTTTAGCAATAGAAGCCATGTCAGAAACTTCTGTACTAAAGCATCAATGTGAACGAAGGGCACAGACTTGTGTTGTAAAGTGACTTTGAGTGAGGGATACAGAAGGGGCAGAATTTTTAAAACAGTAGGAATTTTTCAGCGTCAGGTAAGTGCAGCAGCCTGCAATAATCCATATTCATAAACACTCATGGATTGTATTTAGTTTTAGGAGAAAAGAACTATAAGTACTCTTCTTATTTTGTTCTATGTAAAAATAATCACTGTGGCAGAGAGGTAGCAGTTGACTTTAGAGTGGTGCTGTCCAGAAGAACTTTCCATGATGGTGGGTTTGTTGTATGTTTGCACTATCCAAAGAGCCACTAGCCACTCGTGAGTGAGTCCTTGAAATGTGG